AACCTCTCTCCCCACACCCCCCATTCTTGGCTTTGGTATGAAGGAGGGCATGAAAGGTACCAGTAAAATTGCAGGATAAAATACGATTAATATATACAGAAGCAGTCACTATATTGTCTAGAACAGGGAACTGTGCTCCCTGTGACCCCCCCGCCAGAAACAAGGAATCCTCCACACATTCATGGCAGGACAGGGCGTCGGACAGATTCTTGGAGAGGTTTTTACTTTTTAGATATCTATTTTTATTAGTGGTAATGATAACAATAATGATATTGATAGCATTAGGACAAAAAGGAGAAAATTTGAGGAGTTTGGATATCAGATGAGGTCAAAGAGGCCTGATAACTGACTCCATAGTGACTGATTTAGATAGGTTTACATGCTTTGATAGCTAGCCTCTTATTCAAAACACTTGAGAGGCCATTCATCTGTTTTTCACAGACATTTCATCCTTTCACAGATGTTCACCAAGCCGTTCAAGATTAAGTCGCAGACCCAGCTTAAGGGTTCTGACAGGTGAGGTGACTTTATCTCTTTTCAATTTTCCTTATAAGTAAGGTTACTAATATATGCTTCCTCCTTGAGTTTTGTATTGTTTTTAAGCTGAAGGCAATAAAAAATCTTGTTTTCTAGATATTTTATTAATGAATTATGAGATTAAGTGAAGTAAATTGTCATAGCTTTTCATTAAAGTCGTCATGATAAGAATAATAGAAACTTATAAATTGTGTCAGATCTTTTAGACACATAGACAGATAAATAGACAGATGAGTCAGTGACTGAATTACACCATGTTATAATTGCAGGAAAAAGTTAAGAACGGAGCTGAGCAAGATGTATCCCAGTCTCACAGCAGAGGATGTCAACAAACTGGTCCCAAGTAAAGAGGATGTCACTCTCATCAAGATGTATTGCCATAGAGGGGAATCAGTCAATGTGTACCAGGTGAAAGCAGAAACTTGTTATCGATGAAAATGAGATCAAACTTTAATAGATGTCATCCTTTTAAGTATGAGGTACTTACTGCACTTCTTTTTCTTTTTCTCCTCTTTTTGAAGGTACAAAAAGATCCAATGTTTTTTATGATTGAAAGAGAAAAGGAGATATACCCTACGGTGTACATGTTGTGGAAGTACCCCGACCTCTTGCGCACGTTTACCACGCAAGACCCTGTCATTGATGTCTTGGTTGGGGGAGCAGACCTTATGTTACCTGGCATTGTTGTGAAAGGACAGGTAAGTTTAGTAGGTTATATGTCTACCTTGAGTGGTTGTGTATATATTTTTTATAGCAATACATTTAACTTTATTTTTTCAGTGACTTAATTCACTGGAGATACGCCAGTTTAATTGTCTGTTTCCATTATTTAAGGTTTTACTAAAGTCTTTTTAATTTGATATGTTATTGATTATATATTTCCTGTTTTTGACGGTATCAAAAGAATTTTTGATGATTATGCTTTTATTTGTGTGCTGTCCTATTTTCAGGTGGGCCCCACGTCATATGGGAAATTTGAGAAGGGACTTCCAGCTGCTGTGAATACCTTAGAGAACAAAGCACCCCAAGCAGTTGGCATCACAGCCCAAAGCTCAATGGATATGTACATGTCAGCTAGACGTGGAAAGGGCATCACTATCCTGCAAGTTTACCGCGATCACTTGTGGGAGTTAGGCTCAAAGTCCCCTCCCCCTCCCATGGGCCCTGCATTCTCTGAACCAGTTCCTCAGTCTGCAGAAAGTGAGAATTTTTCAGTACATCAATTTGATGAAAGCCTTATTTATTCTTTTGTATGAGCAGGAGTTCACTTGTAGATACAGTTACCATTAATATTGTTCCTTCATTATATTTTCATATAATTAAATTATTTTGCTTGACTTTCCTGTGCATTTATCTGTAACTGTTTTTATCCATGAATATTACTCTACTTTCAGCATTATAATCATTTGTAACATTACTTTTCTTGTGATAAAACAAATGTTATAAAAAATCAAATCAAGAAAAAGTTCCATAATCATCCTGCAGACTTAGGCTCTAAGGGAGAAGAAGCAGACGTGTCAGACCCTGCAAATGAGTCAGGGACAAACTCCCCCTCGGAATTAGCGGATGGTGTTGAGGAGATCAAGCTGACAGATGGACAGTCCCCTGACAGTGACCCTGGAGTGGATGTGGGCTTGCAACAGGAGGAAGAGGTTGCACAAGTTAGTGGTAGGTTCTATTAGATTGGGCTGAAATCATGGCCGTCCAATTTGTCTTGGCACCTATGTGGACAAGTTCAACACATTGGAAATTCATTTGAATATGCTTAAAAATTTTATAACATATTCTAGCATAAAAGAATTCTTTTTTAGCACCATTAAGATAGTATTCATCAGATTTATTTTATTTATTCGGTTATCAGCAGTTTTAGTTCAGGGGAAATCAGTTAATTGAGTTTACTTTATGTATATATATTCTGTTTATTTCCTCTTTCAGTATTTATTTGTTAAAGAAATGTATTTTTTAAGTTAATTTTATTTATGGATTCAGAGCAGTCAGTATATCACTTTAGTGCTGTTAACCCATTGCTGCCGGGGAAAATGGACAAAAAATGGGGAAAATTCTGTACTGTACTTTTGTGAAATATCTCTGTCCATAGACGGCTCTGCTAGTCCTGACTTCACCTTTCCTTGAATTGGCGGGAAAAAACATACTTTTACTAGTGCTTTAAATATAGATGGTGTTATTTTTAACAGCAAATTAGGATAACGTTAAATATTTTCGTAAATCAATGAAAAGGGTGAACGGGTGAGACAGGCAGTACTCATAATTAGCTCATTGGATACTTAGTACAAGTGTAGCCATCTACGTGTAAAAACAATCGAACAAGTCGACTCACAGTGGGCATGGTATGTACGTACATGCCATCCCCGGCGGCAATGGGTTAATGTCTGTAGTCAAAGTTCTCTCCTCATATTGTTGATATTATACTTTGAGTTATATGAAATATTGATATAATAACATTTCTCCTGCAACTTGCATCCTAACACAAGAAGCACCTTTTGTAATACCTTTTAGAAAACTCCTGTTTGCTTTCACGCTATTGCATCGTCTCATTTTTTTCTTATTTTTTCCCCCACAGGACCGGAAGCTATGGACAAGCTCCTCGTCCACTGTTTCCTGAAGGCATGGAAAACCTCAGCCAAGAAAGTGGAAGTGCCAATCTTAACAAGCAATTTCTATCGTCTGCATATGGTGCCTGCCTGTCCAGATGGTGCCTCACTTGATATTAAGAAGTCTTCATATAAAAAGTTAACTAAGGTATAATTTTGGGTTTCTTCTTTATCTTCTTGTAAAGGGTTGTATATATTATTGCCACATCCAAACTTTTCATTTCATGATTTTGTTTTTACACTGGTGATCATACAAATGCAACAAGATATTATGTTTGTAAGGAAAAAAATATTATAGGACATCACACTGCAACAAAGAATAAATTCCCCATCGCAATTGGATGGGTTAGCTGCAACTTTCGTGAAAAGAAATAATAATTGTCAAATATAAAGAAATTAATAAATGTTAAAATCTTGGCCATGCACTCTGTGGTGGCATTCAGCCAACCAGAGAAGGTATATGAATAACATAAGCCATTTAATGAATTTCCCACAAAAAAAGTAATCCTTAGAGTAAAAGAATCTCCATCAAATAAATCAGTATAACACTGGTGGAAGGTCTTGGGTGTGATGATTAATACTAAGCATTCTAAAGTCCCACTTGCTACCACCATTTCATTCTGTGTGACTCTATAACAGATCTAGTAGGCAGGTGTGTATGCTTTTATGTAAAATACAGCAAGGAAGGGATTTATCATTATTTTCTTTCTCTTTATTAGTGTTCCTCTTACTCCTCTCCTTCCTTTCCCTTATTCCTCTTCATTTCCCTCCACCATTTCCTCTTCTTCCCCCAGTTATTTTTCTCACTGTCTTCTCCCTACTTCCCCCTCACCATTCAACAGCACCCTTCTTCCACATTTCTTTTGCTTTTTCTTCCTAAGGCATAAATCCTAAATGCCATGTTTATTAGGACTGATTACAGATTACCTTTGCATATATTAATTGTATATTTTTTTTCAGTTCTTGAATGAAATGGCAAAACAGGAGATAATACAAGTGAAAGAATTCCCGAAGGGTGTGGAAAATATTACAGCTGTGAACTGGGCTCATGATGACCTCAAATCCTTTGTTGTAGATATGGTGAGTTTCCTTTGCTTGATCTTTTTGCTTCTACACTTTGATATGAAGATGTGTACATTTATAAGAATTGATTGTGGCTAGTTTTAAAACTTGATATTTTTTTTCAGGAGGAAACTACTGTCAAGCAAGTGACCAACAGTGGTGCTCGTACTTTCACCCCCCCCCAGATTGAGGAGGTCTATCAAGTCTCTGGGGATACATTGCAGTTCTATAAAGCTAATGGTCTTTGGTAAATTTTGGTGCAAGGATTTGTTTTTGCAGAATGAGCTCAATAAGTATATGAGAAAGGAAAATGTAATTGTCTGGAACAAAAGAAAGCTAAATATTATTTTACGGTTTATCATCAGAATTTTGAAGTAAATAAATCAGGAAATTATACTATGTATCCAATAAAATTTGAATTCTGATACTTTTTATTTCAGTAAAGGTGATGTCTTGGTAACAAGTGAAGTCAGACAAGTAGTTACCAGTTATATAAAGAAGAAAGGTCTCCAGAAGGAAGGCGACAGGTAACTAAGTATTTCAACAGAACATCTTTCTATTATTTATATCTTCAGTAACTTTTGTCTTTAATAACCTTGCTATAAAGTTCATTACGTTAACATTCTTTTTTTTTTTTTTTTTTTTTTTTTTTAAGGATGGTTAACCTAGACCCAGTGCTCCACGAAGCTGTTGTAAACCGGAAGGAAGGTTACAAGGAGCAGTTGCGTTGGGACGAGATCTTTTCCCGCATGCTTGGCAAAATGGCACCGGCAATAAGAATCACTAGACCAGGATTCAATCCAGTTATCAGAAAGGGCAAGCTGGAACCAATAGAAATCAATGTTGCCAAGAGAAGTGGAAATAAGAAGGTATGGTTGTTTTGGTGATAGTTTTCAAATGCGAATATAAATGGTAGAATATTTGGATTTCTAAACAGTGATCATACCTTTCAGATGAATCAGTTTAGCTCATTTTCTATTACTTGTGGTCATCATGTTTTTTTCTTTCTTTCTCTCTTTCTTTTTTTTTCTGCATTGAAAGAACTTGAATTTCACGTCATAAAAACTTTGGTCGAGTAGCAGATGGTGGGAATGTGTCATAAAAAATTGGCACAGGACTGGGGTGACAGGGACATGTAGCCATGCGATGTTGTTGAGTGGCAGTTGATGTGGACATGTGGCTGTGAATGCATAGAAGTTCTTGGATAGAAGTTAGACTCACTGGGCTATTATAAAGGGGCTTTTGTATTATTTACACTGGAAAACGAGGGTGAAATGTTCCATCTGTGTGCCATGCCTAGAAGAGCGCCAAACACTAGCAAGGATACTGTTTCCATGCGTGGTAATCTATTTCTGCCCATCTTAACCAGTGGCACAGGGTGTGTTATTAAACAGAGTTGTAGACTCCCTGGAGAGAAGGTATGCAAGGAGTATCTCAGACCACTTGTCTGACAATACAATTATTAAATGTTAATGCACTCTATAATTTTATATGATTAGATTATTATTATTTTTATTATTATTTTCATGATTGGGTCATTGAATTCTTTAAGATTTTATATGATAGAACATTGAATTAACTATTATAAAAAAGTGCACACTCTATAGGGGAAAAAAACAGTTAAAACAAACCAGAAAATAAATTATTTTTCATTGCAGGTTACCTTGATATACAATGCAAACATTTATGGCATCGACGAAGCAGAGTTCGCTCACCAGATCCAAGTGGGCGTTGCAGCCAGCACCAGCGTTGGACCAGCCGAGCACAAACCCCAAGGAACAACACAAGTACTTGTACAAGGAAACCAAGTTGCCTTTGTCTCCAAGTTGTTGTTAGGTAAGTCAGCTGTTATATGAAGGTGGAGAGATTAGGGACAAAGTTTGAATCTGTTTCATAGTAATTTAATTTTTTTCTTTCTTTCTTTCTATCTTTCATTCTTTTCTCTTCTTTCTTTCTTTCTTTCATTCATTCTTTTCTCTTCTTTCTTTCTTTCTTTCATTCTTTTCTCTTCTTTCTTTCATTCTTTTCTCTCTCTTTCTCTCTCTTTTTCATTCTCTTCTTTCTTTCTTTCTTTCATTCTCTGTCTCTGTCTCTATCTCTCTCTGATAATGGAAGCATCAGAAATAAAAACATTTTTTGTGAAGCCATCTCTGTGTAATTGACAGTTGGCACAAGAACCACAGTGGACAATTTCTCAAACAAATATTTTGTTTGGATTAACTTGTTTGTAATCTGTTGAGTGAATTGCAATATGTATCTGTTCAAAGAGACTACATTATTTGGTGTTCATTTTTTTTTTTTTTTTTTTTTTATTGTGCACAATATGATAGCCGAGTGGTAAGTTTCTAAAGTCAATCCCTTATTCTTTGATTTAGTGTATGATTTTTCAGTGTTTTTAATTCAAAGTAAAACTTAATTGAGTGGGGCATTCCTTACACTTCACCATGAAATTAGCACTTTTTTTTTTTCCAATACAGCAGCAGGAATTCTTAGTAACTTTAATATATATATATTTTTTTTATCATCTTCCAGAAACGTATCATATACCAAGAAAATACATTAGAGGCATGGAATTGGCAGCTAAAGGAAAGAAAAAATGAAGAGAAGCTCTCACCTGTAAAGACAAACCACTCGCTGTGATTGTATTCTGCATGTTGTGTTTTGAAGTATAAACAAGAATTCCCGCACTGATGGCTCTCGGAAAACATAATGCAGCTCATCTTTTTTTATGTGACTGAAACCTTTACAGTCTACAATTATTAATTAAATTAAATATTCCTTGACAAATTTTTTTTTCTTCATCTTTCTTTTTCTTTTAAATTTATTTTTATGAATTTCTGTCTTTAATATATGTATATTTTTTTAACCTATTTTTTAGTCCTATCATTCAGATGGCCGTATTGTGTAAATTTTCCACTTAATCCGTTTTGTATCAGAGGACCAGATGTGAAAGATATAATGAATTTGCAAGACAAAAAGAGTTTGAATTTATTTGGAAGCCTTTAATATCATGTATAAATTACATAGATTAACCAAACTGAATAATTCCATTATCTTGACTGTTTGAAATGTTTTTCTCATTATACATGGGCAGTTAATCTTGAGAATATGCAGTATTGTAAATTAAATGGACACCCTTTATATACCTCTGCTTAGGTGAAAAAAAATAAAAAGATGTTTGGTATCCTTTAAAATGAGACAAGAAACATATGCACTGTAATTTGGTATATATAGATATTTAAATCTAAATCTGTTACAAAGGACATAATAAAGATGACATGGGAAGTGATTGTTAATTTAATTTTTTTTTTTTTCTGTCTCTCTCTCCGTCTCTTCCAAATGTGAAAGTGCTGAATTTAGTATTTAGTCCAGACTAGCAACCAGTATTTCATTTGAAACTCAACTACTTTGATATCCAGCACATGAAAGGGAAGTCAGCAAACTCCCTTTTGAATTATGCATGGGAGGATAACATATTTAAAACAATTATTGAGTTGATGTTTGATTATTTAAACAGGGCTATTTGTGGATTAGCCTGAGGTATTACAAAATGCTTCAGTAGAGTGAATATTAAATATTTTATATTGAAGACTTTACTTTAAAATTGACTTTAGAGGCTATATAAATAATGTTAAGCAGAAATGATATGCAAAAGTTACAAATTAATATGCACCAGATTATGATATGTGCATAAAATACAACAGAATTTAGTTTCATTATATAGTAATAAGCTATATTTTGCATTCTGTATTAAAATCAATTATTGATTAATCTGATATTTTTCTTCTGTGAGGAAACAAAGTAGGTTAAAGCAGAATCTGGAAAATGAAAACCTTCTAAAATTCTGAATTTAGAAGTGAGCTTTTGCCATTCATTTAATGATACTGCAGAGGAAAATGCTGAACACTATATAAGGCAAAGTAGTGGCAACTTTGGCTAACAATACACTTTCCATCCCCACAATTAAGAAGTGGGAAACTCTTTTCTAAGTTGGTAAAAAAGTCCCACTCAGCCAGGGTGTTAGTACATTTTAAACTCAGAAATCAATTACTATTATGTAAAAAAAAAAAAAAAAAAAAAAAAAAAAAAAAAAAAAAAAAAAAAAAAAATATATATATATATATATATATATATATATATATATATATATATATATATATATATATATATATATATATATATGTGTAACTATATCAGTAAAGCAACTGTACACAAAACCTTGCTATTTTACTAGTGTATGGGGGGGGACAGGCAGCTCCCCTTAAACAAAACTGGCGATGTTAAGGCCTTGAAGGCATGTAGCTTGGTGCCTCACCTTCATAAATATTAACTAGTGGGTGTAAAGTAATGTGACACAAGTTATTTAAAAAAAAAAAATAATTACCATTACTTTTTAATTTTTAAACTAAAGCATTATTTACCTCTATGAGGCACTAAAAGCCTCCTTAAAAGCACAGGTATGCATTCCTATAACTTTTATTTTTCAAATACATGGTTATTAAAACTAGCAGCAGAGAAAATGAACATAAACACTTTATTTCAAAGGTCCCAAAATGTAATCAATTGCAGACACAATTTTCCACAAAATTGTATTACACACTTTACATATATATACTGCCTATATATTCATATATATATAATGGTTTTATAACTTCAAGGTCCATTATATTATTTACATATATTCATAACAGTTTGCATAATCTCCATTTTAGGAAGATGGAATGGATACAGATTTAAAAAAGGGAAGTTTTCCTAAAAATGTTTAATATATTCTGTACATATAAAAAAAAGTTGCTTTACACTACAGAGCAATGAGTGGAACACACTAATGTATGCTTAAACATGATGAGTGACATGTTTTTAACTAGTACAGATGCTCTATGTGCATAGCAGATAATACTACCATACTTCTAAAAGTACATACAAGTGCGACCACTGGAATTGATGTTCTGTAGATCTCCCAAGATCTCATTTCCTGAATTATTCATTTAAGAAAACTGTTAGTCTTTACCATTATGTCCGAATACATTTTTAAAAATACAAAGGAATTAAACACAGCACAACCGGGCTGAGCAACACTGAACCATTCATGAACATCGACCCATTCCACTGAACAGTTCAAAAGTTTCCAATTTATCACCGAGTGTTTTATCCTTGAAATTTGTGTACAGGTTTAGATATCTGCAAGAGTCCTGACTCAAGACCCAACTGATAGTTCAAACTGCATTCATTCACCTTACTTGTTTTTGAAGAATATTAAATAATATTAAATAATAAAGAAAACATTTTTTGTTTCCACTAATGCTGTTAATCAGATTTAAAGTACTATATTTTTTTTAATCAAACAAGACTTCTCTGCTAAGCAAAGAATAGGAAGAAAAAGGCATAGAAAAAAGAAGAAATAACAAACAACAGTTATTAAGTTTAATACACTGCAATAACTTTCTGAACTTCAAGCAATCACATGGCTTACTAAAGTTTTGCCAACTGAGAAAGATTTGTCTTTAGGTTCAGTATGTCCTCAGTTCAATATATTCCCCACATTTTTATGTGAAAATGGTTGGTGACTCACTAACTAATTTTGTTATTTGTATCAAGTTCTGCATGATACAAAGTTCTGTAGTTATAGCTGTCTCAATATAAAGTGACATATAAAGATTTCAAGCATCCTATACTTCTTTCATGTTACCAAATTATCATTTAGTCTCCTCCATGCAATGCTCTTCAAATCAACATTACTGCCTTAAAATTCAATATGAGGAACCATTATTCCCTATATGAAAGTGATCCTGAAATTTCAATGGATATATATTTTTCCACATTTCTAACATCCTAACACTGCAATGCAGGGACTCCCAATTTCATTCACGTATGAACCCTAAAATAAATGTATCAAAAATGTATATGTATTTGATATTTTCAAAAACACTTCTAGTGTTGGCAATCCACGTTGTTTATTACTGAAAATTACATTAATAACAAAAGTGAGCCAAAATGCCTTCCTCCTCAAGAATACTGAAGAAAATTGTGTAGTAAAAACATCACAGCATACTGTAGTCAAGTACATCTTTCATATCAGCACAATACTTTACCATTACACTTTTTTTCAATTGTAATATCATTAAGAAGTGTATACTATCCATGTAATATAAAAGTGACACAAGTAAAACAGGAGTATTGAAGCCTAGATTCTGTGGCATTGTGAATCTGAATTTATCTTAGGTTTTTTTTTTACATATGTATCTTCTGATTTATTTAGGTGTCCTTCTAGAATGCACTGAAATGAGTGCAAAAAGGAACATTGTGATATATTCTTCAAGACCTGTTGCTTTACTGTATATATTAACCTTTCCTTTTTGGCACAAAATGATTCTCAGTTATATCCCAAAGTTCCTCTGTTTTCTATATACTCACACTAAAAATTACCTACTAAGAATGGGAAAAAATATATAATGACAATAACATGTGTTGCACCTTTCCAATATACCTATATCTGCATTTCCATTTTTCATATATCATAAACATTTTCTTCATCTTTTTAACAACATTCGCTGACTAGTATAATTATTCACCACTGAGTTTTCTGAGATAAATGTCTAAGAAAGTAACATCCAGGTAGAGTTATAAATAAACATTCTCGCACAATTCTGAAGGCACTCATCATGCAGTTCAAACACGAACACATCACTCTTTCCTGAACAATGAAAATTATAATGCAGGAAAAAGAATTACCAAATTAAAACCTTTCTCTCAGAAGATATAATGCACCATATTATTTTCATTATTCTTATGGCAAGTTGCAAAAAATCAGTTGCACAATAAAACAAATATCCTTTTACCTACCATACATCAGTAAATTATCTAGATCTAATACATTCTACCAATAATGGAAAAAAAATATTCAACACAATAATAACCAACTTCAGATCTGGCGAACCTGCTACCTTTAAAATTGAATAAAACTCTCAGAGCACATAACTATTTACTTATAGCTTATGAAACCTACCCATCTGCAGCTGATCAACTTGATCAACAGTTAACAAAATCACCATATGTTATTTATGCAGGTTTTGTGAAATGGGTATGTAATTTCCAACTGCGTGTATTTCTTTTCTTTTCTTGTCTAAGAAGTTCTAATACAGTGAAATCACATCCCAGAGCAGCTGCGATACAGCATGAGCAGAGGAATGTCGAAAAGGGCTGGGGCACTGACAGTTTCAAAATTTATATGCTGTATTGGCTAATATGCAAGCATTAGGATACAGGCACTATTTCATTTGACAAATTACCTAAAATAAAAATAATAATAATAATAATAATAAATAAAAAATAAAAAGTTTAGTCAACTTTCATCTGTAATCTGAGAGCATCATGTATTATGATGATGATGATCAACTCTTACTGCCTGTCTGACTGTAACAGCTGTCTGCAACTGACAGCTCTGGACAACAGGGGACTCTGACACAGTGGCATGAGACCGAAGAGCAGTTAAAGTGAAGTTTCCAAGACTGTAAGTGCCTGGGGTGGTGACCAGGGCACGTACAGGAACTTTGCTGCATCCCCAAGGCACCAATGAAATCTTTCTCACAGTTCCTCCCACATAAAGGAGCCGAGTACTTGCTTGAGGGGAGTATATGTGGCTGCTTGAATTTCCATTGCTGAAAAACAAAGACAAGTGCTACAAATAGCTTTGCTGGAGTACTGTAAGATACTCTTCCTTAACCCATTCATGATGGTATTTCCCTGCATTATGTCAAACCATACACACTGGGGATTATGTGCAGGCAGCCACTGAAGTGAAAAATTAAAAGCAAACTTATTTACCCAGTTATCTATGCTTTTGGCTGCAACATAGACATTTTTTTAAGGAAATGAGACTAAATGAAGACTTGAGCTAAACAAGTGAACATCAATTTAGTGCAAACAATTTAGAGTTGGTTCACAGTACAACATACAAACTAGCCAACTCAAATTTGGTCTCAGTTCACCATACAGTTAGAAATCATCCAGCATGAATGGATTAACTTCTTATATGAATGAATATTTGGTGTATTGTTTTACATTATATACTTCTGTACAACAAAGTGGATATCTACTTTCCATTATAAGCAATACATATCATCCTAAGAGAAACACAACCAGTGCACATACCTATTTGATATGCCTTCTGGACAAAGGTTGAGATGGGCTGACAGCTGACATGCAGTGCAGTTGTACAAGAGCAGCACAAACTCAAGGCAGCATAATCTGCTTGACAAAGAATGGAGGTACATTATCATTACCAATCTC